AACAACGGACAATTCCCTCCTAACTACCCACCAACAACGGACGTACTTACGTAGATACTCGCATAGTAACGGTTACCCGTCGTCTAAGTAGTGTGTCTCTCTCTCTCTCTCTCTCTCTCTCTCTCTCTCGAGTGCTTCTATTTTCATCTCTCCATCTGGTTTTCACTCTCGAGTTACACCAAAACCCCCAAATCCCCAAATGAGAAAAACCCAATCTCGAAAAAAGTTGTTATAAAAAAAATGTGGGCAAAAAATGTCCTAAATACAAACCAATTTTACAGCAATTTTTGCTCATATTTTGTGCTCGTTTATTAGATATCCCAAATACAAAGCAAAACCACGGGTGCTTCTATTTCCATCTCTTCCTCTGGTTTTCACTCCCCCAAATCCCCAAATGTGGAAAACACAATGTGAGCAAAAATTTCATTGCTACGGCTAAAAAAAGGGCTATCCAAATGGTCCACAGCATATTGCTCATTTGTCTGAAATAAATATTGTTGGTGGCCTTAATGTAAAATTTTAAATCTACTAGCACATGTGGTTCCTTATATTTTATGGATTGGTCATATTTTGCAATAGCTAGAAATATTATAGTCATGATTGTATATGAGAATCACAAGATATGAAGACGGTCAAAAGACTCAGTTGAATTATGCCATGTTTTGTATGAATAACATTAGATGTTGTTGAAGAAGTTACATGTGATGACTAATCGATTACATTATAACTTTTAGACATTAGCACCAATTGGTTTTATCCAAGCTTTGTAGCTGGTTGAGAACACATATATTTGAGTATGGAGATGGGATTCCTATATAATATAGGGATCAAATATGACTCTTTAAATAACAGAAGATATCTCTATCATGTACCAAAAATGAACTACTGAAAATAAAGTCCATATAGGTGAGCAAAGGGGCTTCTGTCATATGTATAACGTTGCTTAGAACTAGGGATGCATATCACAAAATTTTCTGACACATTTCATACCAATGCCAAATACCAATAATAATTCAGCTGGTATATTTGACAAAAGGGTTATTGTTCAGTTATGACTCTAGATCTTCTTGAAGCCACCTCTCTCGTGCCCAATTTCAATTTTATAGGTTAGATATATAAGATATTTTCTTGTTGTTTTCATTTTCGTTCTAAATGCTCCCCAACATTTTAAATATAGTTCAGAATATTCCAAGTTTCTTTCTTACAGGCTAGATTGAAACCATGGTTTTTTGTTGGGGTGGAAGTTGAATTTTTGGGCACGTCTGGGACTGATGGAAAGTAGAATAACCTTATTTGGGCATAGGAACTCTAACACTGGAGAAGAATTTGGTGTGCTTGGGTCCTTTGAGTCTTCCATTGCTTGATTGAATATTCTTATTTCATTGAGTAAATAACTGCTTTAACGGCCAAGGTTCTGCGAGAATAATTAAGTGGAACTTCCTAGAACCTTTTGGTGTTACTTTAAAATTTAAGAGAATTCCTTAAAAAAATTTGTCATGGACATTCCATTGTCACGTGAGAATGTTTAAAACTTGTTTGGATCTCTTTTCTTCTCCAATTTGTTGCTGATTCTTGCCTTGGTTGTTTAATGAAATGGAAATATTTGTTTAGTGTTGGGCTGGTAATTTTTTTTTATTATCACCACTTGCAGGAATTGATAGGTTTCTTTTTAAACATTGGAATTAAAATGGATCTAACATACTCACCTGAATATATTTAGGCTGTTGGACACTCTTTGGGTGGGGGCACTGCTGCACTCCTAACCTATGTATTGCGGGAGAGGGAGGAGTTTATGTGTACTTGTGTTAAATATTCGGACTGTTAATGTTCGTCCTTAATGTAAATGGTCTTATTGCATACAATCCTTATTTCAGGTGTGATGAAATTCTAGGTGAAGAATAAAAGAAAGACCTTTGCGATCTTTTGCAGGGGAAATACAATTTTTTTTTTTTTTAAAATAATAATCACCCCTTATAATTTTGATAATAAGATCACTCATAGATGGTCTCAACCGGGTTTTTTACACCCCACACCGAGTCACTACATCCAATGACGCGACTTCTAGCTTCAATCTCAAACTGGGATAGCTGATTTCGGCCAAACTAGATAATCAACCCTTAAAAACTCTACTAAAACTTTAACCCCCAAAATTAACTTAGATCTAGAGAGAAGAGAGAGTACCACCTAAAATTTGAAGAGAGCAAATTAGAGAGAGAAAGATGGAGGAGAGAGAGTGGGGCATGCCCCTCTAGGAGAGAGAGAGAGGGAGAGAGAGAGAGAGAGGTTGTGTTGAGATTGGGGGGACAGTACCTATATTTATAATGAATATTTAAGTTTAGGGTTTCTTAAGGCTTTCTCATAGTTTGCCTCTTTCATGAGATTGAATCTTGACCGTTGATCAATGTGACTTATAGGGTGAGAGATCTGAGCCATCCATTCCATAAATGGGCCATCATCACTATGGAAGGTGCTTGAACCATATCCCCCTTTCCTTAAACCATTTTCCCATCAATATATTTAAATAAAATAAATATCATGCATTTTATAAAATTGCACGATCCATGTCAGATATTCCATAAGGATATGTCAAATAATATCAAGTAGATAAATACTACCAAATATAAATAATATAAGATCCATATCAATTCAAATTGACCACATCTCTTTAAAATAAACTTGCTAAAAAATAGATAAAGCCATAGTCAATATATCCCTTCCAAGATTTGACCACATGCCACAAATAAAACTAACCTTATCTTAAAAGCAAACAAAGGAATCCAAAGAGGGGGGGGGCATGCCACCTTTTGTGGCACATGTGGTCCCCCACCCACATGCCACATGGTGGGCCCATGTGCACTATGGGCCCCCATGGAATTTTATAAATTTTTTTTTATTTTTTTAAAATTGAAGAAAATAATTTAAAATATATATTTGAATTTTTATAATTTTGTAAGAATAATAACTATATTTTTATAAGTCCAAAAATCACAAATAAAATATTGAGAGATTTATAAAAATTCAAATAATAAAAATAAAATCATTTCAATAATAAAATGAACACAATTAAATTAATACGATGGAAAAAGGATCCATATAGTTTTAGGAATCCAATCTGTAATAACGGGGTACTCCACCTTCAACTGTGGACTACAGACTACACTAGTTTTATCGAACCGACCCAGTGTTTCCCATGACCCACAGTCCAAGCAGGGGCTCATTAGCTGGTCATCAAAGTCAGGTCGATGAATCAAGGGGTCCCAATCCCAGTCTGTGGATTATAGTTCCTCTCCTAGAGATGAGTCAAGGTCACCACGACCTGATGCGACCATAGTTCTATGGCGCATAGGGGTATCTCTCGCACATGCATACGCTTCACCCAAACATGGATATCTGGCTTTCCTGAAAGATCAATCAATATGCATGTCATGTGAAAGAACATAGATGAGGTTTTGGCCCCCGTCTCAATACGCCTACCATCACTCACAAGGGTCACACAGTCCCTTGGCTCACTTGTATTGGCGTAAGCTCCGACCTCATCAAGGGCTAACCTAAAACCCTCAACGGTTAATTATTTATGCTCGGGTACCTTGGCTTTTCTAATCGTCTGGCCTAGATCGATAAGCACAGTCCGGTATGCTTAGTCTGGTCCTCGAGGGACCACACTCCCACTGAGTTTATGTTTCACTATAAAAGTATTTTAATACACACTCAAAAGGCCTTTAAAGGGGACATAAACCCAATAAAGAAAGGAAGCATGTAGTCAAAAGGTTCATGTCTCAGAAGCCAGATGCTTGTGTTGCTGATGGAGTAGATGCATTTATGTCTAAGATGGAGAAGCGCAAATCTATTGCTATCGTCCCTGAGAAAGTAGATGTTCAAATTTTTTTTCTCATGTGTAATTTTATTAATGACAATAATGTTTGCCCTCCTTTTTTTTGTAAAAAGAATGGGTATATGTATATTTATAATTGTATACACTTAACTTTTGGTAGTTTTGTGGTTTGAACGGTGAACACGTTACTTGCTTATGCTACATCGTGAATGATTTGGTATACCTTTGAGTTTTATAGTGCTCGAGCA